TACTTTCTAGGTTTAGTCTAGGTTTTTGATAATCTTTGATAATGATAATTCTTCTTTTCTTGTCTTTCAGGTGCATACTCTGCAGTACCAGACGCAACAAAGAGCAATAACTACTTTTCGCAGATCCAGTAGCAATCGAACGTTCAAATCGCAAGCAGAAGCGACAAGCATCGATCGATATCCGTGACAGACCATCCACCGACGCTACATCGAGCACATCGATCGATAGTGCTACCTTTCGATCGACAGTAATCCTCGAGTTATGGTTGCACTGATTGTTTTGATACGGGATGAGAACCAAGTTTTGCGTGATCTTGAAGGTAACCTACGTAATGCAGCAGGACAGAAGATAGACGATTAGAGTACTATAATCCCTAAACCAGAAGCAGACGCTGCAGAAGCTAGACCTGAAGCTTATGGCCAAGCTGCTCAAACTATGACAGTGGCAGACTACAACTGTCCTGACTAGTGCTATGCCAACAGATCTGCCATTTGACCTCCAGTTTCTAGAGACATGATTTTGAAATCAAACTGGCCTTCTTTTCTCTGGTAGCACAGACACCTTACCATGGGTTGCGTACTGAGGACCTTATGGATCACTTGGAGCGTTTTGAGCATATTGTATCTGCCATTGATGCCAATGGAGTCCCTGAGGACTATCTACTTTGCAAGCTCTTCAAGTACTCAGTTGCTGAAGAAACTTCATATTGTCTTAAGCAATTACCACTAGGATCTCTTACATCCTGGACATACATCAAAAATGCTTTCCTGCGCAATTTCTTTGAAATTGCACGAGATGAAGATTTGAGGAGAAGAATTGCCACCTTCACATAGGAACCTGCAGAGACTTTTAAGACGTCTTGGATCAGATTCAAGTCTTACTAGCGCGATTGTCCACACCATGGATTTAATGAAATACAACTGCTTAGTACTTTCTACAGAGGTATTGATCTACGGTACCAGATGGCTTTAGACACATCCACCAAGGGAAAATTTTGCACCAGAAGTCCAGAAGAGGGTACAAAGTTGATTGATAATTTGGCATCCAACAACAGAACGAAGAACACTGACTTTGATAGGAAGAAATCGGCACCAGAACTCAGTAGGGAGCATATAGATGAAGCTAGATCAGGGATGGAAAGTGTTAATAAGTTACTCAAGAAACAAGTTAGCTTTTTGGAGGAAAGAGAGGGTTAAATTGAAGAAGAGGATGTGAATTACATTGGTGGAAGCAATTTCCAAAGATATGGGAATGAAGGCTACAACATAAAATCTTATGACCATGGTTAGAGAAGTAACTACAACCATGATTCACAGCAGAAGAACATAGACTATGGATCTTCCTTCTATCATAAACCACCTCTAAAGACTGAAGGGAGCAAGTTGGAAGTAATGGTTGAAAAAAATTCTTGAAGGACAACAGAAGATGACTGTAGGCTTCAATGAAAACATAAATGCTCTGTACCTCAACCTCAATACCAAGTTTGAAAACTTCAACACCCATGTGAAGAAGTTAGAGAATCAGATAGTCTAGACTACTGAGGCCATTAAGAAACATGAGACAATTATTAAGGAGAAGGAAGAGGCTGGATTCAAGCACCGCGGTAGTGCCTGATTGAGGATGACTTTTGGGTGAAATTAAAGAAAGATGGTAATTTCCATGAAGAACATGTCGGCAAGATGGTAATTTCCGTGAAGAACCTGTCCGCAATCCGAACAAACACCGATCGACATCCAGTGCTGAACATCAATCGACGGTGCATGCACAATCTGTGGCTTCATGCGAATCAACCAACATGATCGACACCACTTCAGTAACATCGATCGAAGGCATCCTGCATGCAGACTTATACCTTTTCCGAGCATTAATGCAAGCCTACTAGCTAGACATCAGACTTTAGACACTTTAGGATCCCCGACGGATGATAGTACAACAGAGAGACGTTCCAGAAGGAAGCATAAATTTCCAAACATCTTCGTAGAGAAGCAAATAAAAAAGAGATTGATGGCTTTACCAAAAGAGTTTTAAAATTTCCTTTCAATACTCCTTTTGATGAAGTATATTATACTCACAGATTGTGGATGTTTTTGCCAAGGAGAATGACGAGGACATAGAGATAATGTTCAACCACCTCAGAGAGAAGATGAAACAGAGAGTCAATATCAAGAAGAGAAGTGACCCAGGAAAGTTTGTGATTCCATGCTACATAAAAGGGCACGAATTCAATTCACTTTGTGACACCGGATCATCAGTAAGCATAATGCCAAGAGCTATGGCAGAGAAGTTTAACCTAAAATTAGAGTCTTCCAGTGATTCATTCACCTTTGTGGATTGCTCCCAAGTGAGTTCAAGAGGAATGGTGAGAGATGCACTACTACAGATTCAGAATGCCCTCGTACCATTAGACTTCCATGTCATGGATATCCAGGAAGACATGCACTCTTTCTTACTGTTTGGAAGATGTTTCATGGCAATAGTTGGAGCAGTCTGTGATATGGCAACAAACATGATGTATCTTCCTTGATTGATAAACATAAATATTAGAACCTGCTAAGTATAAGAATATATCTACTCTCATAAAATTGGGTAATGATGTAGATCTTATTGCAACATGTTTTTGCAAATATGAGCTGAATGACGAGTCCGATGATGAAGCATCGATCGACACCCGACCCATACTATCGATCAACGGTCCTGATACTCAACAACCGATCGATTCCCACCCTTCAGAATCGATCGACACTCATCATCCAACATCAGATTCAATATCTGATCCAACCAACATCAGATCCAACTCGTGATTTCACATCAGCTCAGCATCAGATTCAATAGGAGTATGACGATGAATACTACGAAGAAGCACTCATCGAATACTATGTTCTACGCCTAGAAGAAAATGGCTTCTCAACAGTTACTCTCACGAGGCAGAACAGAGCGTCGATCGATGGCATCTCTAAACCATCGATCGACACAAAGCAGACAGCACAGACTGAACCAGTTACAACATCATTACAAAGTGATTACGGCTATCTGCAACCAGATGAGTTCGACATTCAACGCGACTCAGAAGGATATGCCAGGGCTATAGACAGAAGAATACTACATGTCTCTAAAGACGACATTGCAGACATCTTTGCAATGGCTAATGGAACATGAAATCTCTTCCAACCGTGACCAGCGATCTGACCATCAAGCATCGGTCGATTACACTACTTCAAAATCGATTGATACATGGCTTACAAGACAACAAATTCAACACCAACCTTATGGTTACATGCATCAATCAGCGATGGACAGGGTACTTCCTGCGCCAATCGATGGTACAAACAAATATGGTTACAAAGCTTTTGGTCAGAATGGTAAAAGACTATTCCACTGGGAAAAGAAAGATGAGTATAGGATCTACAGAGATGAACAAGACAACACCAGAGACTTAGAAGGAAAAATCATCAACACTTCCAAGGAGGACATCAGAAGAATTTTGGAACGAGCTTCAATGCATGAGGACATCAAAATTTATTAATATTTTCAATTTAAAATATAGTATGAGTACTAAAATGAGCATAGTTTGAAATGTAAATGTTTTGAAAATGGAAAAATAATTAGTTTGGCCATTACATTGGTAGCAAAAAAGTTTGTGTATTAAAATCTTAATAAAACTTGGTTAGAATATTTTTAAAGAATTTTTTCATTTTTTTAATGATAAGCATTTTCACATCTAAAATATTAAAAGTGAAGTACAAATTTGAAATACCCTTTAGTTTTCCTAAATAATTACATTCTTATACCATTGGATTTATTTGTTATCTATTAAAATTCAAATGTCTTAATAAAATCAATATTTCACCTACCTATTTATAAGGAACTAATCTGTATTGGAATTCTAATTATGAGCATTTTTCTTTTTTTATAACGCAATTTTCATCGTCAGCCTTTTAATAAATACATATCTAAAAAGTTAATTGCAACTAACCAAATACATTAAGCTATTAAAACTAAAATTAATGTTTATTAATAATTTCAAAAATATATATTCCTTATAGAAATATGTATAATAAATGTGTATAAATTTATAATAAAGTATTTACCTATTTATTTATTATTAAAAACTTAAAATATATTCAACATAAATAATAGATTATTATAATAAAATAAATAATATATAAAAATGATAATTAACCTTCATTGTTATATGTAAATATACATTTAAATTTTAACCAGTAAGATATATATATATATATATATATATATATATACAACCAAAACAAATGATAATTTAAAACAATTAATAAAACTGATGCATATAGACTAGAAAATTATATTAAATATTTTAAGCATCAAAATATATACAATCAATCATGTATGAAATTTTTTTAACAATACAATTTTTGTAAAACATACGTACGGACGTACGGATCCGAATCTAATATCTTTTTAAGTTCTGAGCGGTGCCCCATTTCACATTTTTTAAATAATATATGTATGATTCATTCTTTTAGTTGACTCTAAACAATCTACTTGAGAAAGTTTGTTTTGGAAAGGAATAAAAATGGAGACGAGAGAGATAACATACCTATCTTAAAACATTTTTTTCTTGTAATTTTTAACCTATTTGATATTATATTTTTATCACGTAATATGTATGTATAATATATCTCACAAATTTTGGGTATGATAAAATGACTTAATAAATGTATAAGATAAATTAAGTAAAATAAACATTAATTAAGTTAGAAATTATTAGGTGTATAGATTAATATTGTTAAAATAACTAAAAAAATTTGTAAAGAATTTATATATCCGCGCATTTGCGCGGGTTCGTTTCCAAGTCTATATTAATGTCGAGACCATTGTTGTGTAATGAAATGAAAAGCTTGGGGGCTTTATAATGTAAATAGCAATCAAGATCGAGACTATTCAAAAAGTACAAAGAGGTTCAACGAGAGAAAGTAACTGATCCTGATATTCAATTGGTGTGTGATGAATCCAACATATACAAATGGACTGTACTTATCAAGGTACATTGTCTTTGAACAAGATGAAAGCTTTAGATTTGTTTCTTTAAATATGTCTTGTTTTTATTTTTGTGAGGTAGGGGCCATCAGAGACTCCTTATGAAGGAGGAGTGTTTCAGCTTGCGTTTGCTGTTCCTGAACCTTATCCTCTGCAGTCTCTTCATGTCCGGTTCTTGACTATAATATTCCATTCCAATGTTCATTTCAAGGTAAGTGAAAGCATAGATGTGAATGAATCTTAAAAAGAGTGTATTTTTGTAATGTCTGAGTTTTGTGTTGTGTAGACAAGAGAGATATGTCTTTGACATATTGAAGAACGCGTGGAGTCCTGCGTGGACGCTTCAGTCAGTGTGTAGAGCGATCATAGCATTGAATTGATGGCTTATCCTGAGGCGGATAGTCCTCTTACCCTTTAGTGACAAAGATGTTTGTAAGAAGCTTTCAAATCTGACACTGAGTTTAATGATTTACTCTTATGGTGAGTCTCTAATTCTATGTTTTTTCTTTTTTAAAATTTCTAAGAATTGTATAAATCTGTTATGATCTTTCTATGTGTTGATCATTACACTCTTTAATATGAGCAGTGACTCTCGAAGCACCCATGGAAGATGGGAAGAGCGATCTGGTGGATGAAATGATAAAGATAGTTTATCAAAAAAAATGATAAAGATAGTGACTCTTCCCATTCAGACACGGACCCAGGTAGCCTCTCGTTACTCACATAAAAAATGAATCTATTGTTCTTCATGTTCTTATATGTCTCTTATTTCAGCTGCTAAGAGCATCATTAATGGGGGTTCTTGAGGATGGAAATGTTAACGGAATTAAGAAACCGTTCTTAATTATTAACTAAAAAATCTAAGAATCGGTTCTTATAGCATCTTTATCCTCACCTCTTAAGTGGGTTCTTAAGAGGTGGATCCCACAAAATTGTTAAAACTCACCTCCTACTCCTCTTCTGCAAGAGGCGAGTTTGTTGGAGTTTTTGTACTATTCGCGAGCCCCATTGACACGTGATGGCCCGTGATTGGTTAGTTTTAGTTTTTTTTTTAAATCATACAAAGTATAAAAAAATAAGAACCCCAAATGGTGTTTTAGGGTTAATGTTGCTCTTAGATGTCTTATTTAAAAATCTTTTTCCATTAAAAATTAAGAAACTGTTTCTTAATTCCGCTAAGTACCCAACCCTTAACCTCTCCCCCAATAATGATGCTCTAAAAGATAGAAGATGTTGGATGATTGTGAATGTAGAAGATGCCTCACCTTTGCATATCTAAGAAGTTGATGATTTGGGTGATGAAGCTTCTTATGATGATAGTGTTTATGTTAGGGATGATTGTGGAGGTTTATTAGTGGTAGATTGATAGTTTGTGTGTTTGTGTGGTGGTTTCTATGAACAAGATAATGTTTTCTGGGTTTTTCAATAATTTAATATTTATTGAATTTTAATAATTTAAATTGTTTTTATTAGAAATATTCGAACTAAATATTACATTAAAAATAAAATGAATTCGTAATTATTATTAATACATTTTTGTATAGTTTAAAAACTAATTTATAACATGAAACATTTGCTATCTTTGCCATTGGAAAAATTAAAGTAATAAGTTTTAATAACATTTATACAATGTTATTATAAATATTAACATTTGCGTAAACGAAAACGTTATTGTTGTACGGTTAACTATAGCATAAACGAAAACCGCTATTAAAAATGTCGGATCTATTATAACGGGTACTGTCAGAGCGGATATGGAAGCACTATTATTTAGGACTCCTAATGATAGTGTTTATGTTAGGGATGAATGTGAAGGTTTATTAGTGGTAGATTGATAGTTTGTATGTTTGTGTGGTGGTTTGCGTGAACAAGATAATGTTTTATGGGTGTTTTAATAATTTAATATTTATTGGATTTTAATAATTTAAATTGTTTATACTACAAATATTCAAATTAAATATTTAATTAAAAATAAAATATATTCGTAATTATTATTAACAAACTTTTGGATAGTTTAAAACTAATTAATAACACAAAACATTTGATATCTTTGCAATTGGAAAAATCAAATTAATAAGTTTTAATAACATTTGTACAACGTAATTATAAATATTCAAAATTGCGTAAACAAAAACGCTTTTGTTGTACGGTTAACTATAGCATAAACGAAAATCACTATTAAAAATGTCTGACCTATTATAACGGACTCTGTCAGAGCGGACAAGAAAGCTCTATTGTTCAAGATTCATAGCGTGTTTCATCCGCTATTAATACCCTTATTTCCTGTAGTGATGATTTAATATTTATAAATAACATGTTATGTTATATATTTATGTATTATTATATTTGGAAAAATATATTTATGTTGTTTTTGTGTTTCTTCAAATTCACATCAACAAAAGTTTGAAGATAATGAATTCCGCATTTTTGTTTTCTTTTCATCACAAAAAGTCCAAAACTTAGGCTATACCAAATAATAGAAATCCGCTACTATTTGATGTATTGTTAGCTATAATCTTTATTTTTGGAGAATTTGATGTATCTTCATCTCTATTAAAAGAGAAGTACCAAATTTATCTACTATTTAGAAGTCATGTTGGACCATGTCATTAATTATTTAATATGACATATTTGATTGTTATATTACCAGTAAAATATATATTATTTTCAAAATATCTTAATAATTAATAAGGTTATTAATAATAATAAATTTAAATATAACAAAATCAGTTGAAAAAAATCTAACAAGATCTTACCAAAAAATTTAAACATTTGTTTATAAAATAAGTATTTTTTATTTCGTTATTAGATATAATTATAATTAAAACTAAAATGTAAATCATATATTTAAAAAAAAAAAATAGCTATATATTTGTAAAATGATAAGTATACCCGCCCGGATGTGCGGGTGAAACTCTAGTTATAATATTATTTGAGACGTCAATTTCCGACGTGTTGTACTCACGTTCATTCTTACGATGGTTCATTACAAATACACCCTTAATGAATTAAAGTATTATATCTAATTTCCATTATTAAACATTATTTATTAAATCATGTGGATAAAAAATTAATTTCCTTTTTTACTAACCAAATTAAATATATAATAAAAAGAAAATATTCAGATAATAAAAAATCGAAAATTACATTTATATAAGGAAACAAAGGTAAGAAAAAAGATTTTATGCATAATGTGATTTCATAAAAAGTAAAGTTCACAAAAAAAACAGTTTTGATGTTAAAAAAATAATCATCTCATTAAAAACATAATATTAAGCTGTATAATATATATATTAAAATTTAAAAGTATTATATATATATATATATATATCTAATATAATAAATTAGACTTTTTTCATTGAGACAAAAACTAACACTTGTCATGCTCTCATTTGTAAAATGTATTTTCGAATGGACTTTGTTTTAAGATTGGGCTTGTTTTTTGTTAATTTAAATTTGTTAAGATTTTATATTATTTAATATATTTAGATTTTTTTTTTAAATAGTATAAAACTGAAAACATATGTGTTCATGTAAATTTCTTTTGAAAGTTTATATGTTAAACACGCAAACACCTTTAGATGTGTTTTTTTTAAAAAAAAATAATATATGTGTACAATTCGAATGATATGCAAATATAATGGAAACTTTCCAAACCTAGATTTCAATACATAACCATGTTTGCCTGTGAAATATTTTCCTCAAATCTCATCCCATCGATTTGTTTTAATATGGAAGCATGTTTCCATATATAAAGATTGTTCTTTCCTGTTCAATACAGGAATATGCTTCCATCACTACTAGCTGCTCAATACCATTATATAATAATGTATATACACATTATTATCCATGTGTACGCCCTATGAACATTTACATACCTTGTTCGGAAATTTGGTAGACATTTTTCGTGCATTCAGGTTAGGCATAGCACCTAATGAAAAAAATCAGAGATCATACAAAGATTAAACAGGAATTTGTATTTAGTTTATTTTTAATTTCTGAATAAAAATTAAAATAGTATGTATTACATGTACATGTTGTCCGTAAAGTAAGTGTAGTCTGGTGGTTATTATCCTTCTTTCTCTTCCATCTCTTTTCTGTTTATTTTTAATTTTTTTAATAAATGGTAATTTAGTAAATATGTCTTCTTCTTCCCTAGATTATTAAGATTTTTGCAACAATTTTTGCGGCACCATTGATTTTTTTCATAATCTTGGATTCTCTTACATTTAACTATAGATTACACTTCAATATCGTAATTTTATCATTTATAAATTGATTTTCAATTTCAGATTTCAAAATAATGTATTTTTGTGAGATTTGTCCATTGTTGTTCGAGCTTCATTTTGCAACTGAAACACAACCACCTTGGCAGCGGCAGATTTCGAGCATTACAACTACCACACGCTACTGTCACAGCACAAAGGATATGCATTGAAGAGTATGACATGGAGGAAGAATCCGTTTGTGTTGATTTCACGGCGAAGGAGAAGACGAACTATGAAGGTTTCGTGATCGAGCTCGACTGAGGTTCACCGGCAGTCACGGAGGAGGACCATGAAACACGGAGAAGAGGAGCTGTGGCAGAGATGACTTGGGATAAAGAGGTTGAGGAGTGAGGAAGTGATGAAGAAGCTTTTGAAGTTTTTTTAATTTCAAAATTTTCTTTGTCTACTCTCAAAGAAAAAAAGAAAAGTAATAAACTTTAGAATTTTATGATCATTTCAGTTAGATAAAGAGATTCTAGTTGACAATAGTTTGGTTTCTAGTCACAAAAAACTACTTTTATCAGTGATAAGTGATCTTGAATGTAATAAAAAAAATTAGAAACTGCTTTATAGTGTAAAACACTTTATTTAATTCATATACTACGTCTATTATAATATGGTATATATTATAGGTATAAAACTTACAAAGTATCATAGATTTTTTTTTAGTTTTATAAAAAAAAACTTAATTAAAATAGTAGTTTAGAATAATCATATATTATTATTTAGAAAATTAATTAATGTATTATTTTATAGATATTCCCTTGGACAGGTATTTTTAGTTTATTTTCACAAAAATAAATCTCCACGAAGAATATGACCAAAATAAGTCATTATAAGGGTAAATATAAATTTATACCCTTTGGTTGATTAATCTAAACTTAAGATTTAGAGTTAATGGGTGGGATTTTGGGTTTAGGGTTTCAAATTTTTAAAAATAAAAAAATAAATATTGCAAATTTCAAAATAAAAACGGGTTATTTTGGTCATTTTATTTTTTGAGTGCTATCTTTTTGACAAAAACTTTTAAAAATAGCTATCTGAGAGAGAATTGTCCATCTAAACTATTAAAGTAGAAGTATATATTGTATTTAGCCCTATGTTTTTCTTAGTATTTACCAAGATATGCCACTGGCATTAAAAAATAATCTATGGACTTTGATTTGAGTTTGAGTTTAACTATTTTTTGGGTTACAAATGATACATCTTTCAAAACCATGACCTAGTGGCCCAAATTAATTCATATAATTAGCATTTGTCAATATAATTATTACTTTACCACCTCTATAAATTAATATTATATAAATTAATAATCTCTATAAATTAAGAAATTTTGTCAATTCCAACTTGGGATGGTTCAAATTTGGCACAAATTATTAAAATAATAATTTAAAAAAATTATGTAAAATAAAAATTTAAATTAATAATTTATATGTATATATATATATAAGTAAGAGAATATCTTTATATTGTTCGTTTTATATTCACAATGAAATTATGTTTATATTTTTAACACTTAATATATTTTTGATGAGATTTAGTAATATTATATTTAAACCAGTATTTAAATTCTATGCAATATATTATATACACAAAATTATATAATAAATTAAATAAATTTCCAATTTGAAAAAATAATAATTAATGTATATACAATAAAAATAATTTTTCTTATCTTAGAATAAATCTTTCGTCAAATAAGAAATATAAATAAAAATAATTTTGTAGATTAATATCTATATAAATTGATAAAATTTTAAAGTCCCAATATTATTAATTTATAGAAGTTCTAGTGTATATAGATTGATTGTTTTTACGGGTTTACTTTTCCAATTGGTTCTATAGTTAGTAGCGATTTTTTTCTTCTAAAAGTTATATAACAATTTAAAATAAGTTCTAAATAACCTAATTTATATTTTCTTTTTTAATAAGCCTTTTAAATCTCAATTTAATGCTCTAATATTATACACTTTATGTTTCTTTTACCGAGTAAAAGAACACAATAAAATTTAAGAAGAATACAACTCATAGTTTAAAAATGTACACTCAACAAAATAAACAAGATCTATCAATTTATAATCTGAACAATAACATGAATGTTTTTAGAACATTCAAAAACATTTTTTTTGTGTTCAAAAACATATTATTATATTGAACATATATCTGCGTGGACGCGTGGATCAAAAACTAGTTATTTTATTAAAAGTGTTTGATTTTAGTAAGATTTTGCTATATTTGCTCAACAAGTTCTGTTATAACTAGAATTAAATTTTAATTTATATTACATAAATTATTATTGATATTCACTTTAATTGCTAAGATTTTCGAGAAATATTATATATTTTATTGATTAATGTAAATAATCAAATAAATCATATTAACTAATTAATGAAATGGTTGTACTATATGACTTTTGTACAATAGATTTTCTTAGTGACTCTGTTTTAATACCGTAGATATTTTAGTACTGTAGATATTCTAGTACAGTAGATATATAAAAACGTTCTTTGTTAGGATTTAACCGGTTTATGAATGTAAATCAGATTGATTAACAAGACATGTCATTTTCGAGTTGTTTAAGTTTTTAACAAAGGGTTCATTAGTTTTTATACCTGATGAAAGAAAGACATCTCCGAACCTGTTCAACTCTTATTCAACACAAGGACATGTCTTACAAGTGATAACCCTTAGATTTTACTAATTTAACTAAGGGTTCATTAGTTCTCAATCAAAGAACTTCCTTCTGAGCAGAATCAGCCTAAAAAGTGGTAGACGGAATTTGTAAGATAGTGACAATATACAGTATAAGAATCTAAAATACCAAACACTTGACAACCACATCATTCAAGACTTGCAGAAAAAAACGACACTGCATCTATTATCACGTGAGATAATAGAAAGCCAATACGAAATCATGAACCACCGTGTATAGTTTGCTATATAGATTCTTCTACGTATCAAATAGCTCATGAGTCATGATACTATGATAGCCATTTCTGTACGAAAACCAAAAGACACTAGTACACTACACGACGTTCAAAATGATACGATTGACGCTGAATGAGATGAATGATGCAGCTGTGATATAGCTGTGTCCCTCTCAGCCTCTTCCATTACTTCAAATTTTCTGCATAACAATAGGTTTATGCATTGTCATTGTTAACTAATGTCATTGAAGTCCAAAATAGTTTCATACTGTTAAGGAAAGGAGAAGAGTATACCTTGAAGGGATGAAACCTTGGCCACCTTCTTCTGAAAGCGCTTTCTCCAATCTTTCCTCGAAAGGTGTTGCGTGCCAGCTCACTTTTTGGTCCTGCAACAAAGAGAAGTAAACTCACCATGTGTATAGTAAACGAGTTTAAAATGTGTAGAAGGTAAACAAGAGATTGGTACCTCTTTGTACTTGTTTGTAGAGTTTGGTATCCCATTACCATCCCACCATTTGGGTGAGATTTGAGATTTCTCTTTCTCATTCCAGTGAGCTGCAACCATTCCGATAATAGGCCTGTCCCTAGAAGTTATGGTAGATAAAGCCGCCATGTCATTGTTACTCTTCACTTCACTCTGATTCACCCCAGGAGAAATGATGGCTGAGCTGTCTTCCAACTTTCCCTCACAAGTAGTTGCTGACAAGGGAGATTCAGTGTCTGTCTTCACTTTGCAAGCCTGAACTCTAGGTCTCCCCTTTGTTTCTGATTCCATATTTGCAGGAGAGATGGTTCCATGAGTTTGAATCTCATCAGCTAGCTTCAATGAGGTTAGATTATGCGAGGTTTCTGAGAGATAACTTTCTCCAGGCTTCTCAGGTATCTTTGAAGTGTTGTTCTTGGAAGAACTGGAAGAGGAAGATTGATCCAAATCACATTCAAACCGCACTGAATTTCTCTTTCCAGCTGTGAGTGGCACGTTGCTGGTTATATCCACTCCATCCCTGAAAGCAGTACCAATGCTTCCTTTGCTTTCTTCACCAGCATCACAATATCCGCTAGAGATCTTTGCACTGTTTTGAGAATCAGTTATGCAACTGATATTGAGAAAAGAAGAAAAAGAATAAATTCCAGATACATGAAACCTCCAGAACTTATTGTGTGATGTAAGAATCATGTTAGCATACATGCAGGTTTTACTTTATGTTTAAGACAAGTAACATGCAGCACCTCACCTGCTAGGAGTTTGCTCTGAGACCTCTTCACATGGTTCATCTGTTTTCTCATCCAAGTGAAACACTGCATCAGAGTTCTTAGAGATCCAAGAATCAAACTGGGAAGATGTAAAATGTTTTCCACGTTGAGGAGTTTCCAGGTTTTCAGATGCTTCTCTAATTTCAGTCGGTTTCAGTGGTGTTGTGCCGCACGCTTTAAGAAGCTGAGCCTGTAACTCCACAAGTAAATCTAAGAAAGTTAGGTAATCATTTTGAAGGAACCAGCAATCAAAAAAAGGGATTCCCGCCAAGGTGAGAGTAAAACACACGAAATTGCAGATAGTTTCCCAAGGAAAGATGAAAACAAACTAATGCAAGTAAGCATAATGAAGCAATGGATATATAAACTATATTCATCTAAAATAAGTGAACACAACAACATAAAAAGGTTCAATTATGAGGATCAAATGGAGAAAAGAAACAACGCTTCTAAATCACATAAAACATAGAACGCTTTCTTTTCACTCAATAAGCAAGAGGTTTAACTCTAAAGTATCACATTGCAATAAAAAAAATAAACAGGAAAAGTCTAAACTCTCAGGCAAACACAAATAGATGAAAACATGGAAGCTTAACAGTGAATGGAAACATATCATTCATAAGTAAGAGCAGTTTCAAGCAAAACTATATCAGGTATCACATACCAAGTAAACAAAAAAAAAAAGCAATGGATTGTCTCACCTTTTTTTCGAAACACTTCTTTTTTTTTTTTTTGAGACACTGATTGTCTCACCAAAGGCTTAATTCCTAGTACATAAAACATGGAAGCTTAACTTACCTCATCCTTGAGACCTTTGTTGATATGAATACAAGGTGCTTTCTCTAGTAAAAGAAACCAAGTAAGAAGACCTTCTTACGAACCAACAACAAATATAATCATCATCAAAATAAATAAATTACCTTCAGAGAGAAACAAATCTGATAAACGATTCTTCGAGTCATGACCTCTCTGAAACCATGAACAAAAGATGTTAAACACCAAAAGGATCTCCATTATACTCGTGGTCAATAACAGTTACCATATACAGATATCGAGCTTAACAAGATCACAATCGATTCCACTACTAAGAATTTGTAACGACAAGGAAGCTATAGAGAGAGAGTTACTTTGGAATTAGGTTGAGAGACGGAATCGGCGCCGCTGGGAGAATGCGTGGCTCTGGGACGGAAGCAAGGGAAGAGACAACTCATGGCTTTCCGATAGAGAGTGCAGGGGCGGATGAAGCTTTGAATAAATTATGAACATACATATATTAATGATTATGAATTTTTATTGGTGGCAATTCAAAGAGGGGAACAGCGATGGAGGAACCTACAGAGATTTTCCCGAGAAAGAAAGAGAGGTGGTGGGTCTGAGTCTTCCTTCTTTTGTTTTTTCAAATTTGAATATCCCCAAACAATGTGCTTACGAGGGAATCAATTAATCAGGTGAGTTTGTGTGAGCTTGGATTTTGAATATGGCGTCAGATATTTAATTACTTCGTACGTTTTTTCACACTCGCGGACGCGTTTGATACCACGTGGCTATATCTTATTCGTCCCTGGGTATTGTTTTGCTTTTATTTTATTTTGTTTTCAGAATGCGGATATTATTAAATTACTTATAAGATTAACTTAAACGAAAGCAGAGTAAAAATTTATACAGTACCCTAAACCGTACTAGAATTTTCAACCCAATACCTGTATTTTTGATCTGCAGGATTCGTTGGATTAGTTAGGATGGGTCATGGTTTACAGATTACCATATCAAGTTTAGATTTTTTTTTTTTTAACTATTGCTTAGTAAAAACATGTAGGCAAAACAAAACACAGAAAGAAAAATACAAATAACGAAAAAGTAGGTTAGTAGGGCGCAGGTAGAGAATCAAACTGGTCACCAGTGGGGGCAACTTAGAGGTTTTAGTCATCTGAGCTATTAATTCAACTATTGTTCCTATACAAATAAATTTCTTTGTATCTTTTTGTGGGGCAGCTGCCCCCTTCCTAGACACTATAGATCCGCCCTTGGTTCTTACTTCATAAAACAAAAAAAAATTCAATCAGATGAGAATGCCTCTTGTTTATACAGGTCAATAATGTCCTCAGAAAGCAAGCCTATCGAGTTAGCTAAGCAGCACCGGGACGGGAACTGGAAACTGGGACGGGAGTGGGGACGAGAAACGTCAAACCTAAATTTCTTAGATACGGGTACGGCATAGAAACGGCACCCACAATATAAGAAAATATAAAAATATCCAGAAAATAGAATTACTACCAATGTTAACACTTTCAATTTGAGTGTTCATCTTTTAATCTTATCTGAAATAACAGAAAACAGAAATATTGTATATAAAATCACATCTTCGTATATAAAAGCTTAAAACACAGAGAAAACATAAATGATGTATATGCTGTTTCTGAAAACACAGAAAAAAAACAGCATATAAAAGCTTAACATGTTTATATATAAAAAGTTTTTTTTTTGAAAAAGTTTAAACACAGAAAAAACAACATAAACAACAAAACAGCATAAAAATCAAAAAGACACAAGAACCTAAGAAGGAACATGCTTACGTGTTGTTCCTTGCTGATTAGGAGAGACAACTTAAACACAGATTCACAGATACATGAAGCTACGTTGTCCTAAGAGAAGTGGTTAAGACTCGAGAGTCAAAGAAAAGCAAGAAAATGGGAGTGGAAGAGACGTGGAAGTGGAAGAGACTACAAAAAATCAAAGGGATACGTTGAATTTTCCTAGAAACGTTTCGAGACGTCTCTGGTCTCTGACCAAGCCCGTCCCCACTGAGTCATGCCGTCCCAGGTTCCCCTCACACGTGCTAGGGACGTTTCCCATGCGTACCCGAGCCGTACCCGTTCCCTCGCCGAACCCGGTACGTGAGACGGCACCAAGTTGGCGTACCCGTGCAACCTAGTGAGTTAGTAAACAAGAACAAAAAGCTCAAAACTGTTGTAATTGATCTATTTACGAGGAGGACTTGATGCAAATTCAGTAGCAACCACAAACATTCCGAAGATATATCATGTTTTTACTCGTTTTGACCATGATATAAGCTTTATTTTAGAGTTTACAATATATATAGGTTTAGGTACGTTTTGCATTATTTTTGAAGATTCTGGAGCAATTGGGATCATGAAGAGAAGTGAAGCTGAAAACCACAAGTCGCGGTCAAGATTTTGGTCTGGTGTCGATCGACACTATGGCTGGTGTCGGTCAACATCCATGATGTACGAACAAACCGACACGAGTTTAATGAAGTTTTAGAAAATTATACAAAACCCCAGAAATTTCCAATATTTGTAAGAAGAGTCCTAAATGTGTTTTAATAATATACTAGTTTAAGACATGCGTCTTGCGCGGAATGAAGTTATTATTTTTATTATATTTTGGAAAATGAAATAATAGTTCGGTTTCATTTGGATTAGGAGTGTTCAATCCGGGTATCGGGTTTCGGTTCGGTTCGACTTTTCGGTATTTCAGTTATTAAAATATAACTACTATTCTAAATCCATATTTACTTCAATTTGATTTGGTTTATATACCATCGGTTTTCAGTTTATTAAGTTTTATACCAAAAAAACATAATTATTTAGTTTGAGATTATATTATATATTATACAGATATATAATATGATCATATTTAGAATTATATTGTCAAAAAGTCATTTATTAAAAAAAATTATATATTTAAATAAAAGAATAAAAAAAAGCTTCTATCATCTAATAAAATGATCAAATCTAGAATTAATATCAAAGCTCTAAATTTTGAAAATAAAAATAAAAAAACAGAAGCATGAAAGAAAAGTTTTTATATTCTTTCATATTTAGTGTTCATCAATTAACACATCTCTAACTGAACACAACTCTGTTTGTTTAACGATAAAAAAAAAGTTGTAAAGAATTTCAACTAATTGTTGTCCATCAAATTTATAATCTTTACTTCAATTTAGTTACAATTAAAATAAAGCAAAATGACCAAAAAAGACTAAGAAAATAAGAAGCCTCAGTTGCAGTAAATTGTTAGTTAATTATAGTTCAAGTGATTCAAGTGATTTACACACTACAAAAAAAAGATCATATTACATCACATAAATAGTATCAGAAAAATAAATGATTTTAGTTTAAATCACTTATTTGTAAATGGTATAAATAATGTGTGTTTAACATCAGTTATAGTAATTGATGTTGTTATTAAATTATTAGCATCGCTTCAACGAAATTGATATAAATATATACTAACTTACATCACTTTTAAACAATTGATATAAATATGAGTTTACATCAGTTATATAATTGATACATTTTCTAATTTTCATTAACATTACTTAAAGAAATGATACAAGTTAAGATTACTTTAATAAAAGAGGAAATCATTTGACATCACTAATGAAATGATACTAACTTAATTTTAGTTAAAACTAATGTATTTTTTGTTCGGTTGATTACCTTATATTTGGGATATTTACTCTTATTTTGTTTCAAAATTTAAAAATTAATTATAGTTAAAAACAACTAACACTTTTTTTAATCACCGACTACAAAAAATGAATTTTACACTACATCAATTAAACAGTTAAAATATATATATATCGTTATGTTATAAGTTATAAGGTGATAAGTTACAATCCCCAAAATAGAGGAACCACTATCAATCACAAGCCAACTACTTGAAGTCTTGAACCAATAGATTTTAAAAATAAAATAAACTACAAAAGAAAAGAGATCACTCTCGTAGGGAATATTTCGGTGGTTTTTAAGACCACGTCCAACGCAAGGTCCTTATGGATCTTTAGCGGGGTGTCCAATGTTGGTGGGCATTGTTTAATAATAAAGCCCAAGATCGGTGGAAGGATTAATCCTTAGGGGAGGACTGCAAGGATCAAGTCCTTAACCACGTGGGAGCAGCTGGGCCGTCGGTTCATCTCTATCATCCTCTCCTCTCCCAATCTCTCTCTCTCGCCTTCGATATGGAGTTACAGTGGATCCTTTTCTGGTTTAAGCTTTGCAGAACCCTCACCATCGTCTCACGAGTAAGCTTTCTTCTCTAATTCATCTCACAAAACCTAATCTGATCATAAGAAAGTTTGGATTTTTATTGCTTAAATCCGTGTAATAGTAAAAACTTATACTTTGCTGTAACATTTTTTGTCTGTTCCGCGATAACTAGAAAGAATCTAAAAATCGGGCGGTGCTCAATTTTATTTTTTTGTTATTTTGGGTTTGTTCTGAAGATGCACATGAGAATCTTTTGGCTGTGGGTGAATGAGATTCTGGTGAAGTTCAACGACGGTGGTGTTGTTAGTGTTCGTGGAGGTGGAGAGAGGCAGAAAGTCTTGGGCTTTGCTGAAGGGGAAGTCAAAAGAGAAGCCATTGTCTATGTGATAGCCAAGAGAAGAAGAGACTTAAGACCTATGTTCTCATATATATATACGTGTGCGTGTATAAAACAGAGTCTGTCTTTTTGTATGTACACAAGTAGTGTAGTGTTGTAAGGGATGAGGATACTTTATAGAAAGCATGATTTGACTGGCATCTCTTGTGCAGGTATATGGGGATGAGGAATGGTCTTATGGGTTCTGTGAACAAGGCACTGGTGTCTTCAGCTGTCCTAGCAGCAAGAACCCCATGTATACTTATCGTGAGAAAATCGTCCTTGGGAGGACAGCTTGCAGCACTTACATGGTGAATCAGATATTGCGTGAGCTCAGCAAGGAATGGCCTGGACAGTCATATGATCTCTTGTCCAAAAATTGTAATCACTTCTGTGATGTTCTCTGTGAGGTACTTGGTGTGCCAAAGCTCCTAGGTAAAACCCCATTATTTGGGAATTATATATTGAGAACCTGTGTGTATGTTTGTGTGTTGGTCTTCACGGCTTATGTGACTGTTTGGCTTCTGTCACTTTAACAGGTTGGGTGAATCGCTTTGCCCATGCTGGTGACACGGCCTTGGAAGTTGCAGGGGCAGAGGTGGAGCAGTTCGAGTCCTAGCAAACCCAAATGTATGTCATTCATAATCCTCTGTTAGTGATAATAACTTCTGAAGAAATTGTGAATGGTTGCTGAGTGTCCTTTGGATTTATAAGTTCCTGCCATGCGTTTTGAAAGATTGTGCCATGCTTGTAATGGATGAAGTGAGTTCTTGATATACCACTAGCCTTTATTATTGGTTTAGAATCAAATGCAGAGTCTTTATTATTGGTTTTGAAAATGTATTGAAGTGGCTGAGACATTGTAGGAAGAGATTTTGTAATAGGCAAAGTGTTGTCTCTGTAGATTGAAACTTGAAATTATAGTTGCCATTCTCTGGTTAGTTTTTAATTCTTGGTGCTGTTTAATATTGGCTGTGATCATTTTTGATTACTGAAGTAAGATCTTAAGAAATTTTTTTTTTATATTGTGTGTTGCAGGACAGCCCAAACGGCATCTGCTTACTACTGGATGGAGTGTCTTTATCAGTGCCAAGCGACTCGTAACTGGAGACTCTGTCATATTCATCAGGACTGAAAGGAATCAAATTCTTTTGGGGATTCGTCATGCCAGTAGGTCACAAACTATTGTGGTTGCAATCTGCTTCAGAAAATGAACTGGACTTATCTCTCGAGGTATAGTTTCGGCTAATAAAACTCTAGGTAGATAGTTGTACATGTGTGTTTCTATCTTTATATATATGCTTATCCATTGATAATGTTTTTCGTAGCGCTCCATCTATTTGATACACAGATTTGTAGAATAAAAATTTCCTTATTGTAAATGTTTTACATATCTAATAATCTTTTAGATTTTTTAAAAAAAACTAAGGATTCCAATGGTGGATAACACCATTGGAGGAAGATTTGAATTTAAAGTCCTTAACTATTCAAAAAAAACAAAAAAACAAAAAAAACTAATATTATAATCCTAAGGACTCCAATGGTGGGTAACACCATTGGAGGTGCTCTAATAAACTAAGACATATTCTTTTTTTTTGGTTAAGATCTTCATCTTCCTCTCACGCTTTCAATTTCTTTAACTTATCTTAACAGTTTATATATCGTTCTGGGTTGAATTATTTGACTAAAACCAAAAGATCAACAAGAATAAAGCATTTATAAAAGTCATGAAGATGATGATTTATTTATTTTTATCATCAAGGATTCGAAATTTATGAGAGGTATTATTTCCTTTTCCTTTTTTTTCTCATCGTCCTCAAAATTTTGGAAAAATAAACGTTTTGCGAACTTTTGTTTATGGTTTAATGATCCTTCTTTGCTAGGATCAGGAGCGTCAAGAGGTATATGAGTAGACAATGTTGATTGGATATGTGGGTGAAGAGTACAAGTCTAAGGGAATTAACTTTGCCACGAATAGAGATTGTTCAGCATAATCCTGATTGAAGAAGCTTTCATGGCAAATTTCTTTAATTATTTTTGCAATTTTCTTTGTATTCATCTTTGTTTCTGTTAGACTTCTCTCTATATTATTTTTATTTCTAGACTATTTTCATTGGAACTGTAAAACATTGTTAATGAAAAATATTGTATTAATTGATTTATTGATATTTTTATCTCTTGTATTGTTGTTTAGAAAAAAATATATAAGGCAAAAAATAATATTTTAAACCAATAATTATATTGATATAATTATTCAAATAATTTTAAAATATAATATTAATTTAGTATCAATTATTAAGAAATGATATAAATAGTTAAAATCAATTATTTAATCGATGTTAATAATAAAATCATTTAAGAAAACTGATGTAGTTGTTAATATCATTTCATATAACTGATTTATATTGACATCATTTATACTAACTGATGAAAATATTTAGAATTCTTACATCAGTTTTTCATAAAATGATACAAATTATTTGCATCACCACTTTCAGAGTCATTTATATAAATGATGCACAATTCTTTTACATCACTTATAAGTAATGCAAAAAAATAAAATAATTGATGCTAGACAACTCTTTTCTTGTAGTGACAAATTAGAATTATAGTTCAACTCATGTAACAAATAGATATTCATGTGTCGTTATAAATATATGCATATTTACATGTTTCAGTTTAATCGGTTATAAATCAAACCATATCCAAATCCTACGGTTTTTATAAAATCACATCCATTCGGTTTGTATGGTATATACCAAAAATAACCATATTATCGATTGTTTAATATCTTTTAAAAATATAAAATTAATAAATAACTAAGATATTTAAATCATTGATAACAAAACTTTTCAATGTGAAAAATTTAATAAGTTTATAATTTATAAATGTTCTTGAAAATTCATTGAAATTTTTGAAATTAAAATATTTATGTAATCTTATATGGTATGTATTTTAATCTATAAATATATTTGTTTTATTATTGAATGATACTTTTTACTCATATGGTTTTAAAATCATGTATATCTTTTTATAATAATAATGTTAAACTATTGATCATTAACTTTCAACATAATAATTTTAATAGTTTTAGTCATTTATTCTCGTTTTTTATATTCAAAATAGAACATATATGAAAAAATCAAAAGTTTAATTTTATAGCTAATTTTATTGTTTAATTTATTTTGATAATATAAAATTAAAGAAAAAAAGAAGGAGGAGATATAAATTGTTATCAAATATTTATTATTAGAATCATAAATTGTCGCATATATATATATATATGTGTGTGTGTTAGTTATTTATGGTAACTCCGTAGGTTTTACTTAAGGAAAAGAAATAAAATAGTAACTATATTTAGGGGAACAATCATAAATGCTTGTATCATAAATATCATATAATCATATCATATAGTTTGGCCAATGTATCTAGCGACATATAAAAATTGAATATGGACCTACTTATTTTTCAATGTAATTGACTACATAATTAAATAACACCTAAGCATGTGGTGTCTTTTAATTATTACAAAATTGATATTATAATTTTTCAAATGTTTCTCTTTTAATATATAGGGGATAAGTGGTATTGATTACGTTAAATAATTATGATATATATTAAATTTTTGTAATGTATAGACATCCGGAAAATATTCGGTATTTAATATCTCCAATCGAGGCATTATGCATAAGTATTACAAAGAACTAGGATAAGACCCGCGCCTTGCGCGGGATGAAGTTATTATTTTTATTATGTTTTGAAAAATGAAACAATAGTTCGGTTTCATTCGGATTAGAGGTGTTCAATCCGGATATCGGGTTTCGGTTCGGCTCGATTTTTTGGTATTTCGGTTATTAAAATATAACTACTATTCTAAATCTATATGTACTTCAGTTTGGTTTGGTTTATATACCATCGGTTTTCACTTTATTCAATTTTATACCAAAAACATGATTATTTAGTTTGAGATCATATTATATATTATACAAATATATAATATGATCATATTTAGAGTTATATTGTCACAGAGTCATTTATTAAAAAAAATATTATATATTTAAATAAAAGAATAAAAAACTAAAAAGACTTCTATCATCTAATAAAATGATTAAATCTAGAATTAATATCAAAACACTAAATTTTGAAAATAAAAATAAAAAACAAAACAGAAGCATGAAAGAAAAGTTTTTATATGCTTCCATATTTAGTATTTCATCAAACCAATATGTCTTCGATCGAATACAACTCTGTTTGTTTAAAGATAAAAAAAAAGTTGTAAAGAATTTCAACTAATTGTTGTCCATCAAATTTATAATCTTTACTTCAATTTAGTTACTGTTAAAAAGGAAAAAGATCAAAATAAGAAGTCTAAGTTGTAATAAATTGTTAGCTATTTACAAATTATAATTATAGTTCAACTCATGTAACAAATAGATATTAATGCGTCGTTATAAATATATACATATTTACATGTTTCAGTTTAATCGGTTATAAATCATATCATATCCAAATCCTATGGTTTTTATAAAATCACATCCATTCGGTTTGTATGGTATATACCAAAAATAACCATATTATCGATTGTTAATATCTTTTAAAAATATAAAATTAAAAAAGAACTAAGATATTTAAATCATTGATAACAAAAATTTTCAATGTGAAAATTTAATAATTTTATAATTTATAAATATTCTTGAAAATTTATTGAGGATTTTGAAATTAAAATATAATTGTAATCTTATATGGTATATAGTTTAATCTGTATATATATTTGTTTTATTATTAAATGATACTTTTTACTTATATGGTTTTAAAATCATGTATATCTTTTTATAATAAAAATGTTAAACTATTGATCATTAATTTTTAACATAATAATTTTAATAGTTTAGTTATTTATTCTCGTTTTTAAAATTCAAAATATAACCTATACGAAAAAATCTAAAGTTTAATTTTATAGCTAATTTGATTGCTTAATTTATTTTAATAATATAAAATTAAAGAAAAATGATGGAGGATATATAAACTGTTATCAAATATTTATTATTAGAATCATTAAGTGTCATATTTATATATTAGTCATTTATGGTAATTCCGTAAGTTTTATTTATGGAAATAAAATAAAATAGTAATATATCTAGGGGAACAATCATAAATGCTTCTATCATAAATATCATATCATATCATCATATCATATAATTTGACCAACGAATGTATCTAGCGAAATATAAAAATCGAATGTGGACCTACTTATTTTTCAATTGAATGTAATTGACTACCTAATTGAGTGACACCTAAGCATGAGGTCTTTTTTAATTATTACAAAATTGAGGTTATAATTTTTAAAATGTTTCTCCTTTAATATATAAGGGATTTCCAATTAAGACATTACAAAGAATTTCCAATTAAGACATTACAAAGAATTTTACTACGTATAAGAATTTAATCAAATAAATCAGCACTTATGGAGGCATTAATCTTCTCATCGTTGTATCAAAATTTTGAAGGTGTATATAACGACATTAATTACAAAGAATTTTAAACGAACGTATAATACTAATACGAACCAAATAATACATTCCACATCAAGTTATGTATAGCAACATTATGTGGAAAAAA